TTAGGCTTATGTCTCTTAAGTGAAATACTTCAATAATCTTAAATACTTTAATAATCTTAAATTGAATAATTAACCCATTATTAAAATATGGTCTAATGACTTTGAAGGTTACAGTAAACAATATCATAGCAAGAGATGGAAGATAATGTGAAAAGCATTACACAAAGTACTAGTTAATAATGCAGCTGCTTGATTTAACTCAAAGATATTCTGTCTTCAGCCCTGCAAAGCTGGTGTCAAAAATGTCCCACAACTCTTCATAGTGCAGAATTTTAAAGTAACAGATTCATGAGAAGAAAATATTTTGTAATGATACTTGGATATAGTCAGGGGCACTCAACCTGGGGTCAAAGGTTTAAGAAGACTGCTCTTCCCACCCATGGAAATGAAAATGAACTGATTTTTCTGTTTTAGAGTTGATCTCAAGGCACCAAGTCAATGGGAATATGCAGTGGGTGCACAAGGAATTCCAGCATGGAAAAGGGAGTGAATAAATAGGAAAAGATGATCTCTGCCATTATAACTCACTGATCTCTATTTATTTTTGAACAGTTTGCTTTTGTAAGAAAGACATAAAATGAATAATTTTAATCACTTTATTTCTTGTTCAAAATACATATGAAACAATTAGAATAAAATTATTTCAAATGAGTTCTCTTTTTCTTGCCTTTTTTAATATAAAATTATCACAAACTGTACACTTCATAACATCTTTTGAGGTTTCATTGTTACATATTTTTTTCAGAACTGACAAATAGGTTCACACTTTCTAGAGAATACATTGTAAAAATACTGAAATGTATTACAGCTCTCAAAGGCTAGTGCAAAAAATCCCATTTACTATCAGTAGTACAATTTTATGCTGTCAAGTTTCACAAATGGCCATTTAGCGCATACAAAAAGCCAATAACACAAGTTCAAAAAGTTTTGTTTTCTTGTCTCTATAATGCAGAAGCCAAGGATATTGACCTGAACAATGGCTAGGTATCAAACCACAGACTTCATTTAAAAAGTCACATCATGAACACTGAATAAAGGGTACTAAAACAGTCAGGTACTTAATATTAGATCTTGGTCAGCCAACACCACATAGCAAGAAGAGACAAAATCTTAGAACTCTGCAGTTCTTTGTAAGCTACATAGACTTGGCAACATTTCTGATCTATTCGTAAAGATTATTTTAAAGGTAGGGAGTTCTGTTAGAGTTTGGGCCAGTTAGGGCCTAGTCCCCCATATTGTCACATCAAAGATGCTTATTCTGACAGGCATTGTATTGAGTGCTTTCTTTTAATATTTCATAATACTAAGTGTTTAAATATTGAGTGGTTGGTTTTTTGTTTTTGGTTTTTTTTTTTTTTTTTTTTTTTTTTTCCTTAGCTGTTGATGTTTCCTATGGCCAGGAACTCCAATTTAACTTCCTACCTTTTGAAGCATACACTCTGGAGAATACATTCCCCACAAACAAGAATATACTAGGAAAAGGTAATGTTCTGTGCTGAAGAAAAGATGTGGCTAATTTCTGTATTCTACTCCCCCCTCTTCAGTTCTCATGAGGAGCACACTGGAGCCTGTCAGCTTGGACACAGCGTGGACTACAAGCTCATGAGAAGAAAGGAGAAGCTTTTTGGGACTCCCCTTGCAGTGGCTAGAGGAGCACCTAGCTGGCACACAGACATGCCGGTGCTGCTGTCCTGCTGCCTAAGGTGGTGAAGACTGGGCAGAGCAGGACGATGAAGAAATGCAATTTGGCTTTGCCTGGTCCCGTCCCGGCTAGCATGGCTACGCTGGCATGGAGGGTGCCGAGGTGCTTTTAGCACAGACTAGCCATGAGACTCCCCACATCACTCCGTTCCTAGCCAGCAAAGCACCTGAGCGGCTGCTCTGCTCAGGGTACGTGACCGTCAGGACTCCACAGGGACTTGGTTAGCAGGTCATATTTTAAAAGTATTATTTCACATGTTTTGCTGAGCAAAGACCCTTGTGATCTCCGCCAGAAGAGGGAGAAAACACAAGTCAGAAGTGCGTCTCCAAATCAGGACGCCACCAGTGCCTACTTGTAGGGTAGAGAACTAGCCATATCCCATCCTCAGACACGTGCATTTAAGTCCAATGTATCCTACTGACACTACTCACCTAAATAGAGAAGAATAGAAAGAATTTAGACTCACACTGGGAAGAAAAAGAAACAAGAAACAATATGAAATATATATCTATACTTTTTCCTTCTCTTGAGAAATAGTTTTCTATTTATTTAACAAAAGTAAATTTTGTTCAATATTTTTCCATAGAAATATAGAGTGAAAAGAAATGCTTTATATCTGATGTGCAACAAGACTATCTAAATGTTACATATTAAAGGTTTAGTTTATACGGACACCCTCTTAGCTTTAATAGCAAGATGGCATCCTGTGGAAAAATGTAGGCCACTATTAAAAATGAGAAAAACAGTAAAAATACATCTGACCTCCATGCCTGACTACAGAGACCAGACATTTTTATTTACTAAATCAGGCAGCTGAGGCTCATATTTCTTAATGATATTAGTAAAATCAGCATTTGCAATAATAGTTCATACCCTAGAGATGCACTGAAGACTTTTAATATAGTCCGAATTGTCAGCAAGCCACAAACACCCATGGTGGATATAAAAGAATTCATTCTGCTTGTCTCAAAACTCCTTACTGGGTTCATTTCATAAGATGCTATGATAAACCATCACATGCAACCTGACGCAAAGCCAGCTGAAATCAATAGCAGTGCGTCTGCTCGATTTCATTGGTGGGCTGGGCAAGTACATAATGCTGTGCTTTGAAATGAAATGACGTCTCAGAAAGACCTATAGAGTAATTTTTCTGGATATATTTAATGGTCTACTGCCATGATATTAAAAAAATATTTTCATTTTAATTAACACAAGAACAATTGTCATATCAAGTAGAAGTGATAGACCTAAAGGAAAGCTCCTTTTGAAAGCATGTTATGATTCTTGTATATTGGAAATTAGGTAATGAATAGATTTTAGTAAGGTTTTTTAGTAATGCAAAATGTATAAATGTATATTGTTAAAACTGCACTTTAACAGGCTGAATTTAATTACTTCTTTTGTGCTATATTATTTCAAGAAATATTAAAGCTACATTAGATATATTTCTTGAGATAGCACAAAAAAGCAAGGTGAAGTATTCTAATTCTATTTAAAAAAAATAAGGAAAAATTAACAAAAAAAGCAAAACGTTTTTCCATCAGCATCTTTATATTTTGCTGCCACAGATATTTTTTCTAAAAGACTTTTTGTTTTTTTGCGTCAATATTATTTTCAGTGCATGAGTGGATTGGTACTTTAGTACCACTTTTTGCCCTGCTAGAGATTAAATTATAAAGTTTTGTCTTAAGAAAAAGTTCATTTTTAACAACAGTACAGAAAACAAGGCAAAGAATCCTAAAAGATGCCTTGAAATAATTAGAATGAAATTCTTTTCTCAACGTGGATTGCTCATTATCAAGCGCCCCTTAGGTAGGAGTGCTCTCTGACCTCATAGGCTGTTTCTGGAGGGCATATAGAATCAGACCCAAGAATTTAGAGGTTAATCCTCAGAGCTTCTCTGAAACCTGGCTATGACCTACAATTGTCTGCCCGTTACCAGCAAGTAGCTAAAGTGCAATAGTGCCAGGCTCCCTTTCAGAATAATATGGAAAAGGTCTAGCTGTGCAGATTCAGTTGCTGGATAAGATAAAGCTATACTTTTTCATTAGTAACTTTGACTCTCTGGCCCAAAGTTACCTTGGTGGACTAAGAACGGAAAAGGTTGTAGGTTTAAATAAATGAATCAAGTTCTTGTGCTATGAGGATAATTAAGATCATTAAACACTTGTACTACATAAAGCTTGAAAGGAACAAATGTAAGAGTGTAAACTGTTCTTTGGAAAGTCTACAAAATCTCCCTTTTCATTTTCTGTGGTAGCCAAATACCATTTATATAAAGAAGAAAGGCATGCCTATTCATACATAACCATTTGCCAAAAATAATTATAGCTGGCAATTCTATGTCTTGTGCAGCTATGCAGTCATTTCCCTCATAACTATTATTACGCAATTAAGCCTCAGAAAACCGTGGTGAGGGAAGTAATGGTCCTCTATTGATGGCTGATTTTCAGTAAGAGGCAGCCACTCCTAGGGTGAAACAGAGTACACCCAGTTATATGTGACAATTTAGGACAAAGGAATAAGAATTCATTATTCAGCTGAACCCCCCTGAATAGGAAGAACGAAGGAGATGGGATTTGTCTGGAACATCAGTCCCAGGACCCTGTTCATACACAAAGACCTGTGGGATATTAGGTGAGGAATACACCATGATTATGAGTTCAGTTTTGTGAGTCATTGGAGACTTAGAACCTGCAACAGCCCAACGACTCATCCACCAGTGTGTGACATCAGTTCAGGCTCGACTTGAAAACAAAACCAGTACCTTGAGTATCACAGCAGCATTGTCAGAGGTGTCTCCTATTGGTAATTCAAGTGCTGACTGTCAGAAGCTTTGAAAAGGTGAAGAGGTGACATTATATAAAAATGATTGGAATTTTTCCAACCTGTGCCAAGCATGAATAAATAGCAGGCCATTACAGCATCTAAAGAGGAAAGCGTCTGAACCCATGCCAACAATGTGACTGTTTTGTCTCAATTATGCTGCAAGAGAAAGAAAGGAGCAGAAGGATGTGCCATGAGCAGCTACCAGTGCTCTTTGCACTGTGAATCCTCTGGGATCAGGATCTGTGGGGTGCAGGGCTGTTTTTATTTTAAGAACACACCCGAGTTCTTCAAGATGCCTCCCACTACCCTTGTGAGCTTGCAAATGGCTGTACAAGATATGAGGTAGGGGAATTACATCAAAAATATTTTTTTTTTTAAATGTTTGCTACACATACATTTTTGACTATTGACTCTCAATTCACCCCTTTTTAATATTTTCCATTTTTCTTTTTAACATTTTTTTTTTTTCTAGAGAGCTATTTACATGCTCAGTAGGCTTTTCCCCTCCTTTCTTCTATCGTGTTCATGGCTCAGATGTCAAAAAATATTTTGAACACCTCCTTCAGTCCTCTTCATGTCTGATGCAATCGTCAGTCTCAACTCATAGTATTTTGAAAAAAACAATTCCACTCTTTCAGACTGCAATTATAGAAATGTATCTGCTTCATAAAAACAGCTAACAGCCCACCACCTCTCCTCCCCTGAAATAAACCTAGAAATCATCCTAAAAAACTGATTCCTTTCTGCTGATGTTAATTTTAAGTGTCTAAAATGACTGTTTGTTACATTGAAAAGCATTTGTTAGAACATTTCTGATATTAGGATTCACATAGGGGCTAGGCAAGTAGGAATTCTGTACCTGCAGAAAAAATATTGGTTTATAATAGGAAACACAGCGTTTAATTTTAACCATAAGAAGTCTCAAGATATCAGGTCTTAAATCTGTACTGTTATGCTATACCGGAAAGCAGCTTTAGGTATGTTCTAGAGCTTTATTAATTTTTACTAAAAGTTTTGATCTTCCCCCTATTTTTTTGCTCGTGGCTAGACGCATGGGTAGATTTGCTTTACTTCAGGGGTTTGAGTTTCTAAGTCATTAAAAGATCCCAAATTATTAAAAAAAAACAATCTCTCCAAAACATTTCTATGCTTGTATTTTGAAGGAGAGAAAAAATGTATACAGGGTAGGTTGCTGTCATGAAAACCTGTTGCTGGTACTCTTGCTATGCCCTGTGTAATAAATGAGTGCCAGAGCTCTCTGTGAGCTCTGAAGTAGCCATGAAATAGCTGTACCCTCATCCTTTCCTCGGTCTGTTTTCAGTTCTCTCTTTAATTCAGGCTTTCTGATTTCACCTATCCAGGGGAGGGGCAGGATTTCACAACCCTCCTATAATTATGGTGGGGTCCAGGAGGCTGTCTGTGTTTGTAGTGACTGTGCTAACTCACAGTCTGAATGGATTTGCAACTTTTCTTTCAAGGAGTCTGCAAATACTCCATTAAATACAGAACGCTATTTAAATATTTACGTTTAAATATGTGAACTTAAGTACTTCAAATAAATGGATTTGAAAATAGTCTATATGCATATCTCTCCTGCCTTGAGCCTTCCCATCCATTAATGGGAGAGTAACCCAGCCTAATTTCTCTGTAAACTGTGGAAACAGCTTGCATCCCAGCCTACTTAGACATAAATCTTGTCTATTCTGAAGCAGATCTCTTGATCTTTCCTATGCTTATTTTCCTATGCCTGCTTGGGTTTCTACCATTTTAGGTGAGATGCATTTTTCAGACCGCCTGTAGCATCAGTAGAATCTCCTGGGCCACCAGAATTGACATTAACATTTTGTAAATCTTTCTTCTAAGAGACACTCCCTTGTCAAACCTTTCCTGCCTGTTGTACTTTTTTTTCGCTCAAGCCTACTTATTGAATTCGCCTAATTCGAAACCAATAGCCAAGTCAACATATTGTATTCATAAATTATTACAGAGCAGCTCCACTTTCATCACAGCAGCTATGGGACCTCCTGCAGATCCAACTTTCAGAGCACACTGTCTTCAGTTATGTATCAGGGAGTCGGTATGTCCTTCCCACCAGAGAGAGCTTCGGTACTCTGATAATCTATATGACCTGTATTTTGACAATGTCGATACTGAGGGTCTTCAATAGTGCTAACGTGGTTCACCAACGTGAGCTTAGCAATACAGAATACTGTACAAAATATCCTCCCTTGGGTCAGCTGGGCACCAGCACTTGTCCTTACTATCAGTGAAGTGAATAGTCCTCATGATGGCACGGTGAAAAGCTTTAACTGGTTTTCACTGTTCTGCAAATTCAGCATGCTTTGTGCCCTCCCAGAGGACCGAGTCCCATGTAACCTAAGAGTTGCAGTATATACTTGGGTGGAAAAATTTCACATAGCAATACCAGAGGCATTCTCCTCTCTGAGCCAGTAAAGAAGAGGTTTCCCAGCAACAGCAACATTGTAGAGGTACTATCAGATAAAACATAAAATCACAGCCCTGAGCACTTCCTATTATCAAGCAACCCCTAGTACTCAGCACAAGATTGAAGGTGTTAGTTCCATTTTCCTGACCAGATTCCTCTGTGATTTTTAAATCCCACCTGCAGCTTCACTTTCTCTTACAGTTCCAGCTCTTGGTTTCCTGTGTGCTGTTAAAAAAACCTGACAGTTTCCAGCTGGGGCTAAGGAAAAGGGGAACTGTGAAGGAGATATTATTTCATTCGGATAAGTAAACAAAAGACATTTTTTGAAGTTAAGGTATTATTTGCTTTGGAAATTACAAATGGCTGTGATCAGCACCTCAATTAACTCCTATGCCTAATGCTGACTCTTCTTCAGGAACGCCCCTCTTTCTCCTTGCTTTACAGAAAGAAAGGACAAGTGATATTGATATTGTAATGATTATCAGTTTTGAAAGGAGGTTTTTCATTTAAGAGTGTTTGCAGTTACACTGAGTAACTTCGTGTCTACTGCCTTATTGTACTCTGTCTTAGCTCTGCGGTCTGCTCTGTGCCATGATTTAGCTATTTTCTGACACCAGAAAGCTCAGTTTAGACTGGAAAACCTCAGAAGCTTTTGAGTAAAGGGTTAAACTGAGTCTCAGTTGTGGTGTGAAAATTTTACATCAAAACATGCATTAATACTCGCGTTGTATATATTATATTTTATCCATGTTTTGGATGATCTGACAGATATTATATGAAAAATGTAACTATCCTACACCTTTTGGTCAAGACCCCATAGGTTTCGTATTACTACTTTTTTAAGGCCAGGAGTCAGCTTTCAGCACTGCAGACATGAGTAAGGGTCTACTGCTTGAAGAGAAGCCCAGTATAGACAAAAGATGGTGGAGAAAGTGATGGCTGCTTGCTGGGACAGTGAGGGGAAGGGCCGTATCGGCAGAAGTATACAATGCAGAGATCTAAAGTTGAGAGCGTGGGAGTACAATATGTGACTTACATCTTATTGAGCATATGCCCACCTATGCTACTGTCTGCAGTGCCCCTAGAATCCTAAATCTACCTGCCGTTTAGGGTGCTACTTAACATTTTGCATAGACCTAATAACAATTTTATGGTTGCTTAGAGCAAATCTAATGGTCCCTGAAAACTTACTTAATGTGGGGAAGGGAAACAATTGCTTGAAAACAGTATTTACCCAAAAGACTAGAATGGCTCATTAGATATATTTGTATGTGGGCTTTTTCACTTTACAGTGCATTATTGAAAATAAATATAAAAATATAACAGCTCCCCTGGAACCACTTAATCCATCATGTGCTTTCTCTGTACAGTTCTGTGGTTTACTGTTATGAAAGTATAAAAAAGTTCTGCAGTGCAAAGTACAACTCTTATTAAGTACTCTTACTGTTTCCAGTAAATCATTTAAATAAAAATAACTCAGGTTTTTAGGAATGTGAATCCTTCAAACTGTTGTAAAATTGCTACAATATATTTTGCACCAACCATTTGCCAGATTTGATTTTCTCAAATTAGGCTAATGTTTCTGATATGACAGAAATGTGGATAAGCAACAAAAACCCATTCAGAATGGGAGCAGGGAGTTTACAGCTTCTCTAAATTAAAATATTTTAAACTTCTTAATAAAAAAAATACATAAAGAAACATATGAATTGACTAAAACTGTGACAAGCTTTTACTCGGTGGTTCTGTGAGTACACTCAGAGAGTAACTTGTGAGCCAGGCTCTACAGCCAATGGGTTGGTTATACTAATTATATACTCTGTTTTGTGAGAGAGCTATGAAGGCAGCAGAAAAAAGAAAATAAACCATTTTGCATTAATTATATTAATCACTGATAAGGGACTAAAAATAATTAATTAGGGGATCATTTTTGAAGTTAGATATCCCAATAATTTTGCAGCCTGATTTTTCCTAGATGCAGAGCACCCATAAATCAAGTTTAGACATGGAAGTAATTAACTGTTGTTATTAACAATACCAAAAATAACACAACAAGAGGGCACAAACTGAGCTATTATTCCTTTGGTGTTTGACAACAATTTAAATTTAAGAAAACAAATCTTGAAATAACTTACTACTTATGATGAAACACACAGCATACTTAGAGAACACTTAAATAGTTAAAAAGATGTTGCTCATTGCTGAACACTAATGCTACATTTGATCGTGAAATTGTTAGATTTTTGGATATTAGGTGCAAAAAAGTGCAAAGGATATTTAGTTAACTGTTACAGTACCACATTACAAAAAGTATTTTCTAGGCCACAAAGGCCACTGCTTATATAATTTATATTAAGGTAAATGTATACACAAAATAGTTTTTCAGTCTCCACATATATATATATATATCAATCTGTTTCTATATCAACCTTGCAAAATCGTGATGAAAATGATCTAGACCACAGAATCTCATAATGATAACAATGACGGGAGGAAAAAAAAACCCACAGAGGAGTGCTTGTTCTCCTATTTAAAAAATTACTCACCCAGAGCAAACGGAAGAACTAAACTCTGCAAGGCTGCTCTGTATTTATGGCGATGAAAATACAATATTGAGCAGGGAGGATCAGTGTTCAGCATTACCAGCCCTCTCTGGGAAAAACTATTTCTGTCTAGAGGCCATGAATGCCAGTCTGGAGCAGATATTTGAAAACCTGGGCTGGAGCCTTTATTTTTTTCCTTTTTTTTTTTTTTTTTTTTTTTTTTTTTTTTAAATTTGTAAAGAAAGTCTGAAATACTTATTTATTTATCTGTTTTCTTGCTTGCTGTGTTTGTAGGCACAGAAGGCAGGGTATAAAACCTGCTTTCTTTTTTTGCCTTAGAAACACCTTCAGTGTTAAGACCAGCCTTCCTAACTTTCCTGGAGCAGTTAAGACACTTCAAGTCAATATTTGACTGTTTTAGAGATTAGTTAGTGGTATGGATGGACTGGATCATCATAAACATACCCTGTGTCAACCAGGCCAAACTAACAAAGCCAAAATGGTTCTTCAGAAATACGTCTAAACTGCCTTTTACCTTCATAACTAGGCTAATTCTCACAAATTCTTCCATTATCATAAACTGATCTTCCACTGGCATTTTTCTTGTGTATGACAGATCTTTAAAAACACCATTTTGGAAAATACGGTGTTCTCACTTTTCTTTATACATTACAAAGATACATAAAGAGCCACCACCTCAACTTTTTTCTAGTTACAGTTCAGCTTTCAAAATCTCAGTCATGCAGTCTTTGCCATGCTCTTTGCAGAAAGGAAAAGAAAAACAGAAAAAAGGGAAAGAAGAAAATAACTATTCAATTGAGGTAAACTGAAGTGTTAAAAAGAGCTAAATCCACAAAATAATATGTAGTTCTTTTCCAGTTTTTAAAGTAACTCACTTCAGCTAATACTTTTTTGCATTTGCTGTCACCGTGTATTCTAATAAATGAGTTTACTAGTTTATAAAATTGATGCATTTCAATTTCTCTCTCCACATATTGACAGAAAACACATCTCAAATTCATATTTAGCATATAATTCTAGAGGCATCAGCCAAGGACTGGAAAGTATTCCATGTGAACCACGCACTTTGTCAAAATAACTTCAAAGGAATCTAATACCATCACATTAAATCGAGAATCAGAAGAATGTTGTGTGTAACTGCAGCGTCTGGTCAATTTTTTGAACAGCCCAAATTCATGAAATCAATTCCTTTACTACAGAGCATTCTTTCATCTACAGTTTGACCTGCGTAAAGACGAAGCAAAGGCTGCGTGATGCCAGCAGCAAACGGGCCGCTTCGAAGGGGCTGGATGCAACCCGTCAGGAGGCACCTACATCTCTGGGGAGCCGCACCACCAGCCGCCCGGCTCGTTGCAGACCCGTTCGCTCTCCACAACGATACCCGTGCACGCGCCGTTCGGCGCCACGCGGGGACGTCCGCGGTAGCTCTTCGTCTGCCGGTGGGTGGCCGGAGCAAACCAGCCGCTGGGCACAGCACACGGGCCTGGCTGCTTTGCTGGACAGGATAACAAAGTTCCTGCAGGGGCAGCCGGCGTCTTGATTGCTGGAAGATTCTGACTGCATAGATCCAGTTGTGAGGCGTGTTCCACAAAGGCTGGACTAAAACCCAGTGAAGCCACAAGGGTCCTTCTCATCGGCTGCAGTGGGCTTCTGATCAGTCCTTCCTCCCTGCCCAAGGAATGAACTGATTTTCCAAACACTCAAAACATGACAACAGTTGGGTTTTTTTTTTCATGCAACATTCAGTTTGAAGTGTTATCTCGAGAAGTCATACAGAATTTAGTGCAATTTAGAAGAAATTTACATGAGCTATATATGACTATTTGCTCTCCCTCAAAAGCATTAGGCATTACAAGTTGCAGTGGTTTTGAATTGCTTAAGGGATTCTTTTTCTGATTTCTTTGTCTATGCAAAGATATAGGTCATACCAAAACACTGCTTGGATATGACACCGGATATATGCCAGCGAGAAAACAGGTGAATGATCTTGTACGAGGAAGGGTTATATTTGGCTCAAGTCAACTTCATTCATACATTAAGAAATTATTATAAACTGTAATATAAGACTTATAATAGGAAAAATGTATTTTAATAAAAAAATATGGACACAGTTCATCTGCGGAAGCTGAACCTTCTGTTTATGTAGGTGTGAGCTACAAGGGAGCTTTGGACACTGAATACGATGAATCCACTCTTGTTCTCTAGGGCGTAAGCGGTGGTTTTGGTGAGGAACAAGATCCCTGGCTATCAAAACTGGTTGCTCGGCCAGGTAACTGCAAGAAAAGTGTTAGTTTTACAAATGTCATCATATCTGACTGTGCATCACATTTATTTCAGAGGATGAGACGCTCCCACAAATAAGAACTCAAATCACATCTCAACACTTTCTTGATCAAAGGCTCCAGAATAACTAATAATCGAAATAAAATTCCTAAAGTGACCTCCTAAAAATGCCTCTGACTTGTTCCACAAGAGTGGGTTTATTTCACCCATCAGGGGAGGTACCTCTGTCTCCAAATTTACATAATCCAGAGAGCTGTGAACCTCTAAAAACAGGCTTCTCTGCTGCATTCACTCAGTTCTCTTGCCCTCACATTCTTCTTCAGGTGTTTTACTGAAGCCTTGGTGTTGGACTTTTTCTGCCTGTCACTGGACATGCTGTGCAGCCATGGGCTACACAGTGGGGAAACCAAATGGCCTGTGATGCCTTAGACAGCAACTCATTCTTGTACAGAGAAATGCATATCCATAGATATTGCATTTATTTTCATGATTCTCAAAAGCACATGTGTGAGAGAGAAAAAAACATTTGATATACTGAGAAGGAGAAAAATCTGCTACTTCTTACCTCTACTAGTGGATGCCAGTGAGTTATTGGTTTACGTGGGTAAGCCAGCATTTCATTCCAATGATCTCTTCCAAGCCCTTCAGCATCAATTCCTGTCCGACATACCCCAATGACCTCATTGTGCCCTACTCTGAGAATTGCAGAGGCAGAATTTTTTAAAATAAAAATAGTTTTAATAACATCTGATGTATAATTCTGTTTACTGGTTTAGTGCAGCACAGAATATATGCCTAAAGTTTTCACATTATTTATTACAGATATTAGTTTTAGTGGTAGTATAGTAATATTAAGTTCTGTAATGGTAGCATCAAAAACCTCCAGCCACTACCAGAGTGCTTCTAGCAGCTATAATAACAGCAAAGAGGACTTAACTCTTGCCATTAAAAGGTTACAACCCAAAAGACACAAGGACAGAAAAAGACTATAATACACCAAATGATCTAGAACAAAATCATGCTTAAAGTTTGTGGGAGGGGAAGGTGAAGGAAAATGGCAGGGAATATATTTCCTGCTGCAAATTCTTCAGACATCATTTCACACTGTATTTCCCAGCTCTAACTGTTGTGGTAATTGGAACTTCAGTCAAAAATGTGAAAGCCAAGAGGCACAGCCATAACAGGCCATATCTTAATACTTCATACTCCTAGAAGTGCCATAGATTTCTTGAGGGACTCCAGAAATTAATTTTCTGTACCTTGCCTATATGTATCTTAGAATAATGTTTCCTAACTTCCTCTTAGCAAACACTTTGAAAGGAGCAGCTGAAGAGGACTGAAAGTGTGCAAGTTGCTGTGCTCTTCTCCCCCTGACAGCACTGTAGTGCCCCTTTCGCATCTGACTGGAAAAGTCTTCTTGACAAAAGCTGGAGGACAATCAGAAATCTGATGGCTAGGAAAAACATTCTGAAGGTTCATGTTACTAAATTGCACTTTCACTGTTTATTTGCCCTGCAATCTCAACAGCTCATTACTAAGAGCACTTGAACGAAGCAGATTTGGCTCAGGCATGATTCTGTCAGTCACTGTCTAATTTAACCTGCAGTCCTTGAGCCACGCTAAGCAGGAGTCTCTTCCTGTGAACTCTCAGTGAGGACATAGATAACTGAGGTTCAGATGTGTTATTAGTGAGGTCGGAACTCAAAGGTTACAAAGCTTCTTTATTGAGTCAACTAAAGAAGTAATTATGACTTAACCGAATGAGGTAATTAGCATCTAATTCTTTTTTAGTCATCCACATTTTATTTGATTTCAAATACCTGCCATTTAAACAGATTAGAGGTTTGAGGGCCTTTTTTAAACTGGGAAACATACCTGATTTCTAAAGCTTTTACATTGTCCAGCCACCAGATGGGGACAGAAATGTATGCCAAGGCTAGCGTCCCGTAAGAAGATGGAGACATATTTCTTCCTCATCACAGTTAATTATTATACAGATAAAATGGTCTGAGCTCTAAAAGGTGTGGAATATTTAAACCTCTTCAGGAAAAGGCCCAAAGTTTTTATCTTTTGTGATACTGAACCTACTTAAAAGTTCGAGGAGGTGGAAAGCAGTTGCTTGCAATGATCAGGTAACTTCTCACTGAAGATTAATGGTCAGAAAGCAAACTATGCTTACCGATCATAATCCATCACTGCAATGGAGAGGCTGACCTGGTCCACATTCTCTGGAGGGATATCAAAGATGATGGCCTCGTTATAAACGGGATTGAGCGTGTTCTTCTTCGTGGTCGTTTTTCTCTTTTTCAGTCTTCGACCCTCACACATCAGTGACACTTTGACATATGGATCTGGGTAACAGATAATCAGTTGCGTGCATTTGGACTCAAAGTCACTAAAATGTGTAGCGTAAGAACAATATTTTTTTGTAAGAATGTCATACTGATAAGACAAAAAATTACAAAGATTTTAGTGACCCTGTCAAGCACTGCTTCCAATATGCTGTCAATGCAAAGGAAAGGTATAGGTATTCTGAATAGACATACTGATTGCCAGACCAGATAGCTGGTAGATCTGAACAGGGCTTATCCCTGTTCTCCTGCTACTTCCATTTCAAAACCACGTTAAACACACAAAACCCAAGGAGTTCCTCTTTGCCCCCTTCCTGAATAGACTGTTATTTAAAAAAGAAGTAGATTCACCTGATGCGCCAGTTATATCCATTGCTTTGAGATTCCTACATTTGATGACTGTTAATGTCATTCTCCCAGCAGTAGGCAAATAACAAAGGGAAAACATGATCTCACCCAAATCTATGCTTTCCTGAAAAAGAAAAGCAATTATTAGAAATCTGACCAAACTGCCAACAATTCAGCTCAGATCATGCAAAAATTTAGAATTTCATTTTTAACATGGAGATACTTCTTTTGCAGCTTCAGATGCTTATGAAGACATCACAAACAACTTTCAGAAATTATTTCTATAAAAGACAGGATAATATTCTAGTGACGGGATCTAGAATTACTAAACTGAGAAATTAAAACAAAAGCAGAGCAAAAACTTTCCGGATTCCTGATATATTTGTGTGTAATTCACACAAATGAAAAGGCGCTGAATGTAGAATGCAAGTTCTGCTCTTGTAAAGACTCAGACTCTATCATCCCCAAAAGAAAGAAATCTGGTGGGATATTTAGATCACACACATTTACATGCCTTTTAGCCACTGGAATTTATGTAGGAGATTTATTTCTGCACACAAGTATGTGTATGAAAAGTTTATCCTGTGTAAGTGCTTCGAAAAGATGAATGTGCTTGTAAAAGTTGCTAGCTTTATTGCTCTTACTGTGCTTTGAGGTGTTGTTCTATTCTGGAAGAAAAGCAAAGTAAAAGACTAGCACCTGCAACTTTCCTGACCCAACAGCAACCTTTTGGAGGGTAATATACTCAGAAGGATGGATAAGGTCCATGTGGATCTTAATAATTCTCACAAAGAGACAGTTTCTATGCTGAGGTAATATGCTGTGAATTCATGCAATACGATGCTGCTATACAGTTTAGATGCTACAATACTTGAGAAATGTAATCTAAGGAAGAGAGGTTCCATCAGTTCTTATTTTTTCTTTTCTCACAGTTATATAATTATCCTAACACCACAAAGATTTAGTTGTCAAGATGTTAGTTATATTCTAAATTGTTCCTGTTCTTCTAAGATTTTAAATAGATCCCTCAAAAAAAAAAAGCCCAAAGAAAATTTTATATATTAAGAACAACTCCAGATTTTTAAATATGAGCTTGTAAGGAAGTCACTTCTGTAAGGCAGCCACTTTCAAGTATGGTCAGGTGATCTCAAAGGTCTTTTTCTGACTACTACTGAAAAGTTATGTTTAATTTCTCAGCTTCAATATTTTGTCTGTCAAACCTACAGCTACCCTGAGAGTACAAATTTGTTTGAGAACTGCCGGAATTATGGTACAGCTGTTCTAGCGTCAGAAGGCAAGCATGTTATATTTTTAAATGATATATACTAAAATAATGATTGCTGTGTAGATGACAAATGCATTCCTTATGGTTATGAGACAAACTGTGACTTTTTCACATTTTTCAACTGCTTAAATGAACAGTTTTATTGACTTCCTTTGGGTTAATAATCTGTCTAAATCAAAATAGGTACTTCAGAACTTTCTTGAGTAAGGATGGACTTAATCACATGCTTCAGGTGGTGGTTTTTTTTCTTTTTGTTTTTTTTCTTTTCCCTACATTGCAGACTTTAGATTGAAGAATGTAGTTTTAGATTAGATTTAATTTCTCTGTTATACTGTTAATAAATTGTTGTCTTTTCTGTAGGTCAGTCAATTCACATGTTCAGTCATTTTTCTGGTACTCCGTTCTCAGAATTAATATACTGATAAGCATGTGAACATGCACTGTGAGCAAATTTCATGCTTGTCAGGATTCCAAGATTTCAAATTTCTTGGGATTTCAAAAAGATTTGGCTCATTCAGTCCACATAGGATAAATACATATATTTGACATCTTTGCCACACAGAGTGCAGAATTTTGTGCCACAGAGTACATTAATAACCTCACTTTCCTATTTCAGAAAATATAAATAAAACTGGAACAAATAAAGTGCAATTCTTTCCACTCATTTGTTGGTGGCAATGCTCTCTGTTATATTTTACAGTTTTTGGCATATCTGAAATCTGTTTTAAGCACAGTTTTTGTTACTAACATTACTTTCTGAATCCAGGGTCTGATTGTTGTTCTTCATGTCCATATGTCAAAGAAATCTCACTCTTTTGTTTGAAAAGGAAATACAGTTCTCACACATCCAGTGCTTCAAGCTCTATGTTGAGAGAGGTGATTAAGATGGGTTGCATCATAAAACACAGTGGTCAGCTCACAAAAAAACCCTAATTCTTCCTTCTTCAGAGACATGACTTGTGTAGGTGAATAGAGAAAAAAAAAAACAAAAACATTTTTGCAAGATGGGAGTATGAACTTGACTATTCTATTATTTCTTTTTGAAGGAAAATTGGATAGACACTCAAAGGTTTGGTGAACTCAAATGATAAACAAGAACACAGACAGGACTATTTACCATGGCTTAAATACTTTAAAAGAAGCATTGTACAAAATACTAGCAAAACTCCATATGGTGGTTACTCTACCATAACTTTTTGAAGAACAGAGCAAAGGATCAGTGCTTAACAAAATGGCAAATATTTGAGGCTTATGCTCAGTCCTTTTTCTTTCCTTTCAGAACACTGTGTGCTGAAACTATATTGAAAAATAGCTTGGAAAATCCCCTGCAATCAAACCCAGTGTTTTTTGACCATGAAATGAATAAGTAAATGCCTTAATGCAAAACGAAATGCTTGGTCAATAAATGAGGGGAAGCTTTTTGCTCCACACAGCAGGCTGTCCACAGGGCAGATGTACTGAAGCTACTAGAGCTCTGTAACTTCTATACTGCCTACTCAGTTTGAGATGGTAAGGATGTTTTTAAGATTGGGAGAAGGCTTTCTACCTCTCCACTGTTTGTGCAGGCGATTTCTGACACCTATGACCTATACTGGGAAAAATTGTCACTTGTGTTGACCTGAAATGTCTGATTTTCTTATTGTGGAAGAACACCTATGTTGCTCTATGTACTATTTTAGTAGATTAATTCTGCAGTAGACTAGAATATTATAGATAGCATTTTAAATAAATACTCTTGTCTACATTAGAGACAGTTATGAGTCACTCATTGTAAGATCAAAGGGCTAGAAATAAAATCAGTAGTTGCCCTGCACTAGTCTGTAGACAACATTTAACTCTCTTCCTGGTGGGGATAACTGACTGTCATAGGTTTTCACCACAGACTAGGAGTTCCCATGGTCCTCAAATTGAGTTCAAATACAACTCCTTTCAGAATCCTTTAAACTACTCTGAAGATTTTATCTTTTTAATTTAACTTGGTACTAGTTATGGCATCTGATGTTTTCTGGCAGTTTTGTAGACAATGTCTTTTGGTCAGTAAGGAACAGAAAGTCCTAGTACTTCTGCTCAGTTCCTACTCTGAGTATCTGCTGAGATTGGAGGTCTTTATACTTGAGTGAACCGACTGTATTTTGTCAGGACCTCTACAAGTCATAGGGTAACTGGGGATTAAGATATTAAAATGCATCATTAGTGTAAATATTCTTTGGAAATCAATCACACAAGGCAAAGCCCAATACTCATGAACGTTTAAATATTCTTTTGAAGGATTAAGATTAAAATTATAAATATATGTATATATGATAACATCAGAGATCGGGTATTGGGTAAAATGTCTGGGATACCACCATTTCCCTCTCCACCACTTTTTTTTGAGCACTAGAAGTTGATTAATTTAGAGCTGAAAACACAAGTTCAGACATAAATAATGAACAAAGTAAGGCTCAGCATTTAAACTTCTCATGGCAGTCTTCGTCTACTGCATTGATTATCATGAGTAACATTTTAAAATGTCTTGGATCTTTAAGAATTATTGATCTTAATTGAGATTTAAAAATAGGATTTCAACTACTTCAGAATCCCAGCAATCTAGAAAATGTATATTTTTCTCACTTTATAATACACTAGATAAGTAAGTCCACACAAGTCATCTGACAGGAACCATTCAGTACAACCAAATATGAGGAAGCCAAGGCACAGACTGCCCTCAACAATCACGTCTGCATTACAGTCCACCTCAAACAAAATACAACTCAGAAGACACAAGCCTGAACCCAGTGGTTGCCATTCATGTAGATTTTTAACTGTGCTTCAGATTGTCTTACATGTGTCATATATTCACTTAGAATTCCACATTACTTGGGTAACACCCATGAAATTTCATTTCTTTCCTAGACCTATTCTGAGTTTTTTGTTTTCTTTTTAAATTAAACTTAGATTTCAATTAACAACTAGCTTTACGGATACTCATAATGATTTCCCCCCCACCAACTTCCAATAACAGGTACAGAAAAAACAGCATTAAGCACAGCTGCACTAATGCAAAAGGAAGCATTTGTTGGTACTGTGTATCTCTTCATTTATTTCCCTTTTGTGTACACAAGCCATCATACAGAACTAAGGAGCTGGAATGGTGGTAAGCACTATACCAGCTTCAGTTATTTTTATGGCTCCTGGTTTACCTCACTATCCAATCCATTTTCTGGTACAGCAATGCTAGAAACAAAGAAAACACCGATCTCAAATGCGTATGTTAGCTATTCAGATGAACTTGGCTTTTCTATGGTTTCTATGGTTAAAATAGCAAATATTTGCATAATCAATACTGAATTAGAAATTAAAATCCTTCAAAAACATCCTTATTCTTACTTTCATTATCATTCAGATTATCATAATCCACAGTAAACATTTTAATTCTTAATCTCAATTTTAATATCCAGAACTACTTTCCTATTAATTGTAATTTAAATAATGTTTTAAGGATTGCATGTGAACGTAGCATAGCAAAAATACTAAGGGTGGCATGAATTTATTTTTTACTGAATTCTTAAACAAGTAATTTATGATTTTTTTTCACTTTATTTTCTTGCTCTATTTTGAGTAAGCATCTGTACTAACTAATAATAATTTTCTAGATATCAAAGAAATTATTTCGGCATTTATATTCCTAGACTTTTATCTGCTTCCTTTTGTCACACTGAAAATTGCTTTTCTGTATATTATGTAAATTTAAATAAAAATGCATTGGTAGAACTAAATTTTTTGATTACTTGAATACTGCAGGAGGATAATTCCCTCAAAGAACAGGTTTCTGTCTCTCTCTTTTTCTTGTTCTATTT